TTATTATTATTATTATTATTATTATTATTATTATTATTATATCATCCTCAAAAGTCAGCATGTGCCAGTGAAGGAGTGGTAGGCAGAATCGTGGAAATAACAAGGCAGGACCTTGGCTGGCTTGATGTCCAAAGAAAGCTAGAATGATAGTGAATGTGGAGGGCTGAGAAGTGAATGTATTTAGAGAGAGAAAAGTGAAAAGAAACTGAGCACAACTAATTATATTTACCAGGCAACAGAGGCAGTGTGGTGTAGTGGTTTGCATATTGGACTATGACTCTGGAAATCAGGATTTGAATCCCAGCTCAGCCATGTAATCCCACCGGGTAATCTTGGACAAGTCACACTTTCTCAGCCTCAGATGGCAAATCCCCACTGAAGAAACTTGCCAAGAAAGCCCCATGATAGGTTCATCTTAGGGTTGCCATAAGTTGGAAATGGCTTGAAGGCACACAACATCAGAGGAAAGGTGATCCAAAGGACATGTACTTCTTGGTTTGTCACCAGCAGTTGAATAAATCTGTAGGTACAGGGTACCCTAATTTTAAAAGACCAGAGCAGGGCTGTTGACAATGGCTCATGCTGAGTTTTCATATGACAAAAGAAAATTAACAACAAAAGCCTCAGGTCTCCCAGTCCCAGCTTGTGTTTACACATCAGAATGGGATAAACAGTGAAATGCTGATGTACTAGTCAAGGGATAATATATCCAAAAGTAGTTCTAAGTAGCATTGTGTAGAATCTCTACCTGGTCTTTCCACAACCTCTCCACCTCCCTGCAAAAGAAACCAATGTTCAGGTTTTGAGAATTTGGGATACATGTTTCAAAGTGTAAGACTGTACTGCTCACATTACTGTAATAGAGTGGACAGGCAGTGTATGCATTCTTAATAACTCATGTACCATTCTCCTGTGCTTTACAGATTCTCCAGATGCTCATGCTTCCTAGAAAACTCCCTAGAGGAATTAGTATCAGAACTTTCTTCACTGAAATTTCCCATTGCTACTGCCTGCTGAGTGCCTGAATGCAGAGTAAAATTTGTTCTTGTTATTAAAGGAAATTTTGTCTGTTTTATTTTATTTTTTTTTAAAAAATGGTGCAGCTTTCAAATGTTCTGCATGCCACCTACAGTGTGTTTTAGGAGCACTGAATTGTTTCAATTTTGGGTGTGCATGCTTTTCTGCTATGGCCTTAGATGGAACTGTAGAGAGAGCTGCCATGCACCCCAAAGAGGGGAAACCACGTAGGCACAATATTGAAATAAAGATCAAACAGCTAGTCAGGAGTTGCAATCAGGAAACATTCACACCTATTCCAGGAAAAAGACCAAGATATTTATGGCCCAGGATGTTTTCCTAAAAAGAGCCAGAGGAGACCCATCATTACCTCTGGATCAAAGTGATCTTTGCTATGTAAATTCAGCACCTTTTGAAGTATAAGAAACAACCTTTGCCTGGCTAATTTTGGCCTTTTTATGGACCCCAAAATCCTTTGTTTGCCAAGCTAATAGGAGTATAAGGGGGACTTTACATCTCTCTCTGAACTTCTACTACTAGTCTCCACTCATGCTGTCCCCCGAACAGCACCGCTCTGTGAACAGCTGAGTAAGATTTTTATCATGAAGAGGAGCACCTATGCTATGGTAATTATGTTCACAAGTGAAGCCTTTCCATTAGCTCTTGTGTGTATGAGAGTGCATATGTGTGCATGCTTACATTGCTGATTGATTTTCCCCTAATAAAATACAATTCATTGAAGGACTTTGTCTCTGCTAATTCTCCCTCTGTATAAACAGGGATGTATTCCAGATAATTAACTGAGCTAATTAAAATTCCTCTAAGTCAAGGTCATTTAATATTTGGTGGTGCACATGTGCTTTGAAATTTCAACATGAAGATGAAAATCTGATTGAAGATGCCTTCAATCTATCCCTAGTCCTACAATTTCCACTCATCTTCTAGTCTGACCTCCAATGGGAGAAAATCAAGTAATGGGAATAAGTGACTCTTTAGTCCCCCACTTCTCAAACCTGCATCACTGTTGAACTGTGCTGTCTTCTTCATTTCTCAAAAAATATTTTTGAAATTAAAAGTAAAGGTATTCCCCATTGACAAGGTTGTCAAGTCGTCTCTGA